TGCTTTTTTTAAACATTTTTCGATCACAGCGCGATGTTTTCGTCGCGCTGTGATGACGTCAAATGCGCACTTTCGTCGAGCGCGATTTTGTCCTCCGCGGTTTTGTGGTGGAACCTTAAAACAGGGGCATCCAACCTCAGCAACTTTAAGACTTATGGACTTCAAGCTATGCTGGCTGGGGAATTCTGGGAGTTGAAGTCCATAAGACTGAAAGACAAGGATCCGTGTGATCTGGGACTAGAAATCTATTAGTAATCAGTAACTTTAAAGTAAATATTCTTCTGCAGTGCACTGAGGGAGAACAGATAACACTTAGGCCACTGCTTGGCAGCCCCAATTTGATTGTGTTAGAATAGCCAAAACTGAGTGACAAGTACAGCCTGAGTTACTGTTGCCAGGTTATTTTGGTCTTAAGTAGGGCCATAAACTGAATTGCCAGCCAAAGCTGGGTGAAGACTTTTCTGCCCTTGGGTTCCATCTGCTGTTTGTATGATGATACAAAAGACTGTATCCCAATAAATGATTTGCTCACTCAGCCTACTTTCTAGCTACCAATTAAGCAATACAGCTTCATGATCTGGCTTACAATCTTTATATTGTCCATCTTGAACTGCAAAAAAGGCACACCTGTGCTAACCTTACTCTGCTTCATTTCACAGTGCTTATTCCTTTTGCAACTAACCTGTTAAATTAGATTTAAAAACACACACACAGAGACACAAACTAATACAGTTAGTAGGCACAGTCACAGAATAACGGAGTCTGTGACTTTTAATAGCCTTAGGAGGCAAATTGAAGATGCTAGATCAGTGCTGGCTAACCTTTTTCTCGCTCGCGTGCCAAAATCGCTCATACGAATAATGCAGCGCGCCCCGATCCCTGTGCATGCACGCACGACCCCCAGGGCTCTCCCCATGCATGCACGCAACTCCCTGTGCCCCATTTTGAGCCTAGCAGGCCTCCCAGAAGCCTCCTGAAACCAAATATGGGGTGAGTGGGAGTGCCACATCCCCTGTGCTTCCCCCCCACCCCGTGTATGCGCGCACAACCCCCATGATCTCCCCGTGCATGTGCACCCTTCTCCCCCATGCGCAGCAGAGACCCCCAAATCAGCTTGCCAGTGGGAGCTGAGCTTGGCGATGGCTTGTATGCCCACAGAGAGGGGTCTGCATGCCACCTGTGGCACATCATGGTGTTAGATTGTAGAAGAGAATATTTACATAGGAACATAGAAAGCTGGTATTAGTAAAAGATCAAGTGGTCCATCAAATTTGCCCTTTGAGATTTTTAAATTGTTTATTTAAATTTTATTTGTTAATGTCTGTCAGCTGATGGACATGTGTTTATCCCAATCATATTTAAACTCAATTACTGATGATTGACCCACTCCCTCAGCTGGAGGTTGGTTCCACACCTCCACTATTTTTTTCCCCTGTTTACTTTAGTTAATAATTAGTTAATAGTAGAAATTTTATAATTCCAGGTGGGGAGTGTGCTGGTTAGAATAAATAGTTAGTTTAGGAATTAAGAACCATCCCCTTAAGGGATTGCTTTCTGGGAAATGTAGTTTCATGTCACATGGTCACACCTGTGTTTCTGATTGGCCACTGGGTCAGACTTCTGATTGGCTGAGGGGAAAACTTGCTACTGTACATGTAGACTAGTGAGGATTTTTAAATTCCAGTAATACTTCCTCACATTACTTTTGAATTTGCCTCATGTCACCCCAAGTTCTTTATTTCACTAGACTAGACATACCCAATTCCTGCAACTGTTTTAGCCTCCAGCTCCCTAATCACCCTTGTTGCTCTTCACTGCACCCCTTTCCCTCCTTTTCTTTCTTTTGCTTACAAATATTTTAGCTTAACATAGTGTTTCTCAACCTTGGTGATTTTAAGTCCACAGGACTTAGCAATAGCAATTAGCAATAGCAATTAGCAATAGTTAGGCTTATATACCGCTTCATAGGGCTTTCAGCCCTCTCTAAGCGGTTTACAGAGTCAGCATATTGCCCCCAACAACA